CACTAATGTTATAGCTTGGTATTTTCGATGATGAGGAACCCACTTTGAGACTAATAATGGTTGGAGACTTCTTGAATGGGTAATGAAGAAAAACTTTAATATAAGTTTAACATAACAGCAAATGTACCTGATGATGACAAAACCTTGTCGTAATGTTGTACATTTGCTGTTATGTTAAACTTATATTAAAGTTTTTCTTCATTACCCATTCAAGAAGTCTCCAACCATTAATAGCCTGGTATATTCTATCCAGACCACACTCAAGCATGCTAGTAGTGTTTTGTAGCTACTCAGGTGTGTTGATGTAGCTGTTAAATGTTGTAACAGATTCAGCATTATGCACTAAAAATAATATCTTACTACATACAAAAATTACTTCATTATTATTATCTATAGGTGATTATGATTGCAAGGTTTGGTAAACAATAATTTTTGCAGTTTCAAACAAAAATACTGTTGTTTACTGTTACACGAAATACTTGCATAAACTTTTTTTAAGAGGTCTAAAATGCAGTTTAAAGTTATGTTAGCATTAGTGTAAGATGCCCAAAAGTTACACACACAAATAATTATTATGTAATCACGAGTCATGAGAATTGTTGGAATTAGCTTTAACCCTATGACACCCGGTTTCTCTATCAGAGAGAAGGTAACGTCACTCTTGTCATATTTCGTTACAAAAATAAAACTAATGGGTGAAATTCTTTGAAATTTGACAATAAAAAGCATGTTATTTCCAATGAATTTGTGATTTAAAGCAGTTATCTGCACTCCGATTCTGGACAGTTCACTTGCAAAGTGATTTTCATGTTAAGTATAAAATAACAATTTTTATTATACAATTTTTACATTTCACTTGCATAATCTTTTGAACCTCCTAAATGAATATCAAAAGTTTTTTAAGGTAAAAGTTTATATTTTACTTGCCGTTTTCTCTATAACATCACTAACTCAAGCTATTATCATCACTGTACAGTGTAATGTTTAAAATTAAGAAACAGAAATATGTACATACCTTTTAACTCTTCCTTGAATAATCTAAAAACATCTTCTGTGGATCACATGCATAATTTCACATCTTTATCTTTTCACTTTTTTTAATATTCAATTTTCCTCACCTGTTTTTTATCTTTGATCATACATGTCAACAAATATCAATAAGTGCCCATGGGTGATGTAACGTTAACTTTGATAAAACAGTTTAGCCCCCCAGGGCATAATATTTCTTGCACTCATAAGTTTGTCAAAGCTGTTTTAGATTCAAAGTATAGAATAATTTGAAAAATCAGTAAACCTTTCAAATATTAATATTAAAACATAAATAATACATAATTAACTAAAATAGAAAAGTAAAACCTAAATGCAATCTATCAAACTAACACATATAAGACAAGAAATAATTGCCAAGCACTACAGACACCACTCTCAACAACGGACTTAGCCTCATTTCACCGTGATTGAAAAGAGATGTATAAATGCATGTTTCCTGTTACAATAAAGACTTTCAAGAGCAAAATTTGCTCTTTCTATTGATTATAAGCATGCCATTCAATTTAAAACTGTCACTCAAAAAACACATCTTCTACTTTGCAACAGGGAATGGTGTGGTTTGAACTCGGGAATTTCTATAAAGGTTTCCTTTCGAGGCCAATTCTAGGAACGTGTATAACAAGTTACTGGTAAATGAACTCTATTTATACGTAGTTTATTGCCAGCAAGTAAAACATATTTAACCATAGTTGTTTCTTGTATAAAATATGAAATTCAGATGCTATAGCCACTTGCACTTCAAGTTAGAGTAAACATGAAGTTTATAATAATGTTTCCACAATTTTTTTGAAATAATGGAATAAAAGTGAAATAATACGAGATTTTGAATTGTATTGTACTTGATAATGCTAATTTCCTTAAAATACACTGATAGTAAAGTAATTTATTGAAGTTTTAAATGTAACTCAGTAACACTTTGTGACATGTGCAAAAAGGAATTTAAAAATAGCACTGAGCATCATAGGGTTAAAGACAGCAGAAATGTCTCTCTATTGACCAGAAATGTGCATATATGTATTATTCCATTACAGTAATAAACAATAAAAAAAGTAATGAAATAAAATACCACCTTGTTTATGGCAAACAAAGCCTTGTGCCTCCTTACCCAACACTTCACTCTGAACTGCTGGACCTACTTTTTCTCCGTTTTGATCTTTTGGGGCTTCTGGAAGGGCTTCTAGAAGGACTGAGACTATGTTTTCCACTTTTCCTTTTCTTATTATTAGATTTTGATCTAACCGTTGTTGGTGAACGAGACAAACTCTTTTTATCAATCTTACTTTTTCTTCTTGATTTCTTCACCGATAGCCGATGTTCTTTTCCTCTATTCAAAGATCTACTTCTTTTCCGAGAACCCCCTTTCTCCCTACTTATGGATCTACTCTTACTTTTACGAGAACCCTTTTTAGCCTTACTCAACGACCTACTTCTACTTCTATTAGAACCCCTTTTCTCCCTGCTTAAGGACCTACTCTTACTTTTACGAGAACCTTTTTTCTCCCTACTAACTGACCTACTTTTACGAGAACTCCTTTTCTCTCTACTAAAGGACCTACTTCTAATTCGGTGAGAATGCCTTCTCTCCCTACTTAAAGATCTACTTCTACTTTTACGAAAATCCCTTTTATCCCTACTACAGGACCTACTCCTAACTCTGTGAGAACGCCTTCTCTCCCTACTAAAAGATCTGCTTCTACTTTTACGAGAAACCCTTTTTTCCCTGCTCCTATTTTTATGGTAAACCCTTTTTTCTCTACTGATAGACCTACTCTTACTTTTTTGAAAATCTTTTTTCTCCCTACTTAAAGACCTACTTGTACTTTTACGAAAACCCTTTTTCTCTCTATTTAAGGATCCACTCCTACTTTTACAGGACCTGCGTTCATTATCACTTTTCCTACTATGTCTTCTTCTTTCGCTACTACTACGTTGGTTTGAACTTTTGTGATGAGAGTAAAAATTGTGACTGCCTTTCCTATTTTTAACAGTATTACTAGGACTTGGCCTACTATGTTGCTTTCTATGACTATCTGGATTTTTTAACTCTTTCTTTTCTCTAACTGGACTTCTAGTCCGACTACTATCTTCTGAATCAGTAACACTCGAATCAGTTGTCTTAGCCTTCATCTGCAAAACCTTATGCTCAGCTTTATTTTCAGTATCAGATGAACTACTTCCTGTGCCAACTTCAGAATTTTGTGAGTGACTAGAAGCAGTGTCACTATCTGATTCCTCACTTCCATTGTAACTTTCATCGTTCATTTTTACACTATCTTCATAAACTGATTTACTTTCTACAACTTCATGCCTTACATCCTTTCTTTCAATTTTTTCAGATTTATTTTTAGGGCTGTTTATTAGAACTTCTTGGGATTCGTTTTGTACAATTGGCATTTCAGCTACTGTATCAATGTTATGTTTTTTCTCATCTTCATCCAGCTCGGTGATGCTGGACTGATGCAAATCTTCTTTCAGGGCTGTATAAAAAAAAAGTTTTTTGTGTTTTCAAATTGTGAAAAACATGACAAAAACTAAAGGTAATTTACATCACAAAAAGAAAAACAAAACAAAATCAACAACAAAGACTATCAACTTCATTATTACTTTTGAATAAAAGATTATGGGTTCCAATGTTTGAACTTAAAAGTGATTGTGTTAAGCTCTGTGCTTACCTTTTTGTTTCTGTAGACTTTCCCTCTCTCTTTCAGCTGCTTCCTCTTCTCCTATAGCAGCAAGAATTTCCTTCTCTTTCAGGGCAAATCTTTTCTTTTTTTCACGGATCTTTTGTTGGAGCTCCTCATCAGAATCTTCTGAGCCACTGTCCTCACTACCACTTGCTTCGCTGTTGCTACCATACCCAGTTAGGCCTCCTGTTAAGCAAGGAACCCTTCATTTACACAAGTCTTCTAAAATATAATTTTAAAGTTATAAAGGTGAAATAACTGTGCTCAAATTTTAAGGCAAACTAACCCATATAATATCATTAGTAATTCTTCAAGAAAAGAAAATTTCACAAGTACACAGATGAAATATAAATGTGTTGCAAATCACTTAAATAATTGTTAACAATATCTAATGTTTTTTTAATAGAGAAAAACTGTAGGTCATATTTTTGCCAAGAATAAAACTGTAACACCAAAATAAACCTTAGAACAAGTAGAAACAATGCAATGACGTTTCTTTCAAACTGATGGAAAAAGTTCAAAATCGTATGTTGTTACTAACGTGTTTCTATTAGCAATACAAATTTTTATACAGTAATAGTAATTATACAAGAAAAAGCTGATTTCCTGTCTATTCAAGTACACAATCACATCTTGAAGAACAGCTTAAGCAATGAATTACATTTCTCACATTTCTTAATGGTACAGTTATGAATTATGTAAAAAAAAAGACATGATTTTTAATGAGCTTTAGAACATATCAATTCTCGGATGTTAGGAAGAAGTGACAAGGCAAACTATATCAAACAAAACAACACACTGAAGTTTTGAGACATCAAGTTCATTACTAGGGTATGAAGATAATCTAAATTTTGGGGCTTTGGTTAAATACTCTATGTAACAAAAGTGCTACTGAAGGTTGAAAAACTTACCAAGTCCACTCGCTAGAGAGGCCAGAGCTGATGAGGAGGCCAGCTGTCGAGCTGGAGCTTACATGTAATGTGCACAGTTTATTAAAGGTTAGAAAACATTATTATTCAAATAAAATAATGAACAGGCCAAATATCATACACTTTTCAATGTGATGTTACAGCAGCCATTATCCACCCTATAAAACAACAATAATCAACCACCATATCTTTGAAACAAAAACTGAATTTTCATACTATTATCAACATATGAAATTTTCAATTTGCAAAAACACACACCTTAAAATTTGGATACAGAATGACAATGCAAAGCATCTGCTAGGTATAAATCCGTTTGAATTTAAATGTATCACTTATTCATTTACTAAAGATATTCCTTGAATTTTTAAAATTTTAGTACGAATACTGGTAAAATATTACACAGTAAAACATTTATATATATGTATATAGTACTTTAAAATTATCATGGTTATCTCATTTAAAAAAGCAAAAGGATTATATATATATATATATATTTTTTTTTAAATTAGTGACTGTATACACACTAAATTACCTACAGATAAGTCATTACCATTTATCAAATAGATAGATCAGTTTAGTTGTTCTATTGTAAAATTTGAGACAATATTTGGAAATAATTCATAGTATTTCTACATTATCCTTTTACATCACAGACTAAAAGGTAATATTAATATGCCAATAACATTCTCATTTGTAAAACAGCTGTACTAAAAAGTTTTGTTTATTTATATATTTTTTAACCTCAATCTTCTTACAAAACATTAGAACAGTTTAATAAGCAACAAGAATGTGCATGTAACTTTATTAAACTGTTACACTTTAATCAAAATATTATGAAGAATGACTCTAAGCCGAGAAAATAATGTTTTACTCCAACTTTTACAACTATATGGTTGCAATACTTTTCTGAAGTTGATATTTTTTGAGAAGGCTGGGGATTTATGTATCACATAAAACATTTCATAATATTTTCATCCAATGTTTATAGATATATAATTGATTAATAGTGCAAAAATTAAACAATTTAATACTTCTGCTTAGACAATGTTCTTCAATTCTAATGAATAAAAATACCTGTTTTATTAATATCAAAAGAACTGTTCTCAGCTTAGAATCATCACGAATAATAACACTTTTATTAATCATACAAATATTTACTTTTTCATCTTTAGATTAAATCATATATCCTGGTTACATTTGTTGGAGCTTTAAATATCTCTATAAAAAGTTAAATTTGCATATATTCAACATTTGTTTACATATTTTAAACTATTACTTGTTCAAGAACTTATAAACTGAAATACCATATTTTAAATAATTTTTCCTATAATCTGAAACACTGGTGAAAATATCTTTTAAATTCTATGCTGAGATTAAACGAACATCAATTTGTCCTGATGAGATATTTTGAATAAGCTCTCTCCCTCTCTTATAAGACATTACATGTGAGCCTGAATAAAAACACTAATACTACCTTTATTCACAGCTTTTTTGTGAACATCTTCAGCACAGATCTGAAGTTCTTCATTAGTTACTTCAAGGAGAATTTCAGTCAATAACCTTCTCACTTTCAAAATCTTTGAAAAGACAAGATTTCAAACGTAAAAGCAGAATCTACTCAAGCTATTAAATTTATACAACCATCTTATTGTGAAATTTAATGAAAAATGTATATACTTTATTCTTAAAACAATTATGCTTTGTTTATTACTAAGCATTGGATGCATGTAAAGGAATTTGAAATCACAATTACATTCATTTTCTAAAATAATAAAACCTAAAAAATGATTATACATACATGTGCTATGTTTTTTCAGTTATCACTTATACATAAAATATTTTTGAATTTTTAGCCTGTTAAAGATGATTGATTTCTGGCTAAATGAGAATAGTTGAATATAAGGCTATGTTTTGGGTACTTATTCAAGTAACAAACAAAACACCGTGCCTTATGTGAAATAGTGTTAAAGGAAATTGTAAACGAATAATATCAATGATTTCATCTATTTTTAATATTAATGTCCTATCTCACTTACTAAAAGTTAAAAATTATGTTATTTAAGTCCTTTGTATTTCATTTGTCTTTTCAAGTTAAGCAAAAAATTTGTGGAAGTGAAGCACTGAATATAGTGAATTGAACAGATACAATAAAGCTGAACATTACGTACCAAAATGAATAGGATGGAAAATTTAAACTGAAATTTGGAAAATGAATTATATGAGGAATATACTCATTTAAAAATTATATAATGCATTTAAAGCTTTATGAAAGATCTGATGGAAATGAACAAGAGCAGCACATTAAGTGCAAAAACTGGTCTAATGCAAGTTACAAGACAACTATCTAAAAAAAAAAATTCAATGAATCCCATAAAAAACACCAGAAAAGGCAGTTACCAAGAAGTTAAACATTATTTTACAATATTCATGCACAGAAAGCTACCATGTAACCATAATTAGCCTTATTTCTTCACATTAACTTCTAAGACAATAAATATCAGTCTTTTGACTATGAAAATAACAGAAAAAAAAAGCAATTAAACTTCAAACTATCAGTTTAATTATATCTGAAAACACTGTTCAGGAATAGTTCTGTAGCATTATATATATACCATTTCTTGTTTTCTTTCTTCCTCAGACTTAATGGCTATTGTAGGGGGAGAACATTCAGTTTTGCCTACATGGGAAGATGATGGACTCCTACTGACAAAATTCTGCTGTGGCCCCTCCTCATTCTCACTGTCACTTTCCTAAAAGAGAAAAATAAATTAAATGTGGTTTAACATAATGAGAACACCCAAACGTTTAAGAAAAGTTCTTCACTGATGATTTCATAATATATATCTTTTAACAAGGTTTTATTCAGGATTTGAAAAATTTATTCTTTACTAAAGGATCAAGTTAATATTAGGAAATCTGGCTCTGGAGTCTGCAAAAATTTTAAGCTATCAATTCAATACAGTTCATTAACACTTTCAACCCATGCTCGGTCCCTGGGACCAACCTTGTAACCACTTTGTGCTTGTT